CCGCGCGAAGTCAAGTGGCTGTGACGTCACAACCCTATCAACCATTCAGGAATTTCCCGTCACGCCACCGACGCCACCGACATCCGACGGATTTTCTGTGACACGCACGAGCTCCTAAACGCGCTCGCGTTAAAATATTATCTTCCTTCCTTAAAACATTGACATCAATGAAGCACGTTTATCAAACTTGTTTTTGTGTGCATCCCAGCATACAAAGGATTTACTTCCAATAATAATGTGACAAATTTGAGAACAATACTTGACGTGAAAATAAAAAAAGTATCTTTGAAGTAACTGTACCTGTACCTAGGTACATTTTTAAGCGAGTAGCTAGATACGCACCTAGGTACATTTTCGCATGAGTAACTGTAACTGTATCTTAGGTACATTTTTGAAGTAACTTTTACAACCCTGGTAAATAGCATAACAAATCATTGCACCCTAATGTAAATAAAGTACTTTTATACTTTGGAGTGTATAGCAGGGTGTTCTTTGCAGTGCTCAGTTCAACTGTGAACTTGTCAAGTAAATGAACACTAATCAATCCAGTTCAAAGGAGTAGCCGGCAGCCAATGTGTCCTTTTTGTTAAGTTTTTTATCAGTTATTAAAGGAAAGATACGCCCCCAATTACGTCCTGGACAATGAATACCAGTTAAAAAAATGCATAGGAGAATGAAAGGGCACAAGTAAAGATTGTTCATAAGTACTTGCACTTTACTTTGAAGTACATTGTATTTATAATACTTTACTCCAAGTTCATTGCGCCCGGTGTACTTACTACTTTGGTTGACGTAAATAACCTCTCATTTACTTCGTATTTTACTGTAAGTGCTTTTTAGATGTACATTACCCAACACTCTGCGAATGACGACGAACGAGTATAGAAAGCGTGTCCTCAGCGTGCTGCCGCACCGCTTCTGCAACGCTCCAAAGGGCCGAATTCGGTCCATTAAGCCCCTCTAACCTGTGAAAAGTGGCGCCATTCATCGATCTGGAAATGCTCGTGACGTGCCGCACGCCCCTTCTGGGAGGAACTAAGGCGGAGGAAAGTGTGCCATTTGAAATCTAGCTCAGTGCTGCGCTGTGCCGCCATGATCTTCGCAGGGGCTGCACGTTGTACGTGTCTCTTGCATCAGCGCACCTTGCGCAATTTTTTTAAAACATGAAGGGGCTTGAGCCGCACTTGCGGCTCAAGCCCCTTCGGGAATGCGCGATCCAGCAAATAAGAGATATCAGTGTGTTGCGCCATCTCACGGCGCAACACACTGATATCGGGCCACAGCGGCAGAACAGAGGACCACCACAGCCGCCGCTTCAACGACGTGCGGCGGAGTAGAGCTGGTGCAAGCGGCGAAGCGTCATCTCGAAAGGCGGGAAAAGTGCTGCCGTGCTGCTGAGGAGTCCAAAGCCAGAGACCTCCGAGCCCCAGCGAGCCAGGACAACACACAGCCCGCCCACCTCAAAAACTTTCATTGCGGCCCGCGCATCAGTTTATCTCGGTGTTGTGACGGGTAAAGCTAGACTTTTTATTGAACATTGTATGCATCAACTAGTAGCTAAGTTTCTCAAAAGTCTCAAAAGGTGTGAACGGGGAGCAGCTTCAGTTGTCCAGCCTCCAGCGCGAGCCTACTACCCTTGACAACGCTTCGGCGTTCGTGCACCTCGAGCGCTCGCGTGCAGTCAAAGCACGACGGAAGGCATGGGGATCGTGCTGGATGCCAGGCGTTCGGAAGACACGCCCTGCCGTTCTAAATTCGCGACTGTAGTGACTTTGATGACCAACATAAATAGTCAACTAGTAAAGAAAAGCGAAATAGTTATTTGAAAGTGGAGAAACTGCCTTAACTCGCTTCGTCCAGGATGGTGCTATGCAGAGAAGCGATATTTCTTCTAGCAGCCGTTCTTGTGGATGTTGTTTTAGTGACTGCGCCGAATTATTATTGGTACCAATGCTTTTTAGTAAGAGATATTGTCCACGAACTTCGAAACACCGTTTTCCCTTTGACAGACTCGCGAGAAGATCGAATACTTGGAACCTTGATATGTGCTTAGGTGGTCACCGGCCGAATGATTACCTTAAATATGTAGGCTATATAAGGCTCTGGAGCACTCAACGGGACTGTGATTCAAGTTTTAGTGCTTCGTGACTTTTGTTTGTTTCTAATATGTAGCTGTGGGATGGTATGTAGTAGCGCCTTCATATACCACAGGAACACCATCTACCAAAAAAAAAAAAAATTCTCGCAATTTTTTTTTTATTTTACGTGACTTTGCTGCCGTCAATTTGGAGGAAAGTGGAAAGCCAAAGTAAGCATCCAAAACTTTGTTGAATGAATAGCTAAGCTATAAAGAATTTTTTTTTCTTTTTAAATGGCTGTAGTTTTTTAATTGAAAACCTGCAGAAAAAGCATCCTGGAGGCGACAGAAAGTATGTTGGCTTTCTTATTACAAAGTGGGCCAATATTCAAAAGAAAGTCAGCAGAAAAACTAGAGAAAGTCAGATGAAAAGCTATTGACATTTTATATCCTCTGATGACTTTCTTCAACAACCTTTCAACAGAAAACATCACAGTTCAGTCCCTCAACAGAAAAACAGTTTTTTGTAAGGGGTACGCCGGGGCGTGAGCAACGTCTACTTTCCTGCACAGAGTTTGAGTCTGCTCCTCACGCACGGTGGAAGGAACATCTAGGTGATGACACTGTCCGACGCGGTGACTACAATATGTTCGGCGCACCGAGCGCTTCACTCGCACGGGATAGATGGCGCCCCAGGTCCTTCTCAAATAGAGTTCCTGTATAGCTACCTGTATAGGCTCCCGTAGGGAGCCTATACAGGAACTCTATTCTCAAACCAACCGCTCCGGCTGTTTCTCCCAGCGGTGGTCCCGCATTCCCTCGCTCACCGCTTCTTGTTGTACCTCACCGCCGCTACCAAGTCGCCAGAGACCGTAAATCTGTGTTCTCTTCCTTCTTCTTCGGGTTAAGGCTCACCTTCGTGCACGATGGTGGCACGTGTGATCGACACAGCACCAAAGCAAAACACGAGGCCAGCCACTGGCCGCACACCACCACCACCACCACCACCACACCGCGGGAAAAGGCGAGCACGCTACGTTGCCGACACCGTGGCCGCCGTGGAGGGACCTCATACCTCAGCGCCCACCGCGGCGGCGCGGAACTTACTCCTGACTCGAGGTTAGCTCCGAACACGATCTGGTCGCTCGCTCCCCGCAAGAAAAGCGGCCATAGCCACCTAAATATGTTTCTTCCACCGTGTCCTCACGTGATCGGAGCTCGGCGACTAGTGGCGCGGCGGCACGTGAAAGCAGACGCGCAACTCTGGCTCACCCCAAGGCGGACAAACAAGTCACTTGGGAGGCAAGCCAGGTCAGACCGTCTGGAACTACGGTCCAGGTAGTGGACACACGAATTTTAGAGCGCAGCTCTTAGGGGCCCGTTTCCGGCTTGAGCGGAGTCGCCGTCGGCGTAACCGCGAGGTCACGTGACCCCCCCTGAGGTCACGTGACCCCCCTGACGTCACACGACCCCCCCCCCCCCCCCCCCGAGGTCACGTGACCTCAAGGAGTCGCCTATCCCTCAGTACACTTCCATCCTCCTCCTCAAGAGGAGGATGTAAGTGTACTGAGGCTTTCATTTTTTGGCGTTTTTCTCCATTTTGTTTTTACTTTTTTCTTTAACCACGTCATATCGACAACAGATTTTTTTTTTTCAAAATTTGCCTGCGACGTTCCCTTGGGAGCGATCGCCCTGGCGCAAAAAGCGCAAAAGCCTTCGACACACCTCTTCCATGGCAAGGCGGTGTTGTTCAGACCATAGTCATTACAATAAACGCTACAGGCTCAGGTGGCTCTAGTGTGCTGTTGCATTTTGAAGCAGAAAACCAGTCTAAATTTGACTTCCGGTAATGCATTCCTATGGAAAAACACAAATGCGTTTTCTCTTCGTGCTCGATTATAAGAGCAAATATTGTTTAGTGTCGTGACAGAATAAAAAGTGTAAAAAGTTCTACGACCGGATGTACAAAAATATATGTCAGAGTGTTTTGCTTAAGAATTCATGGCGTCGAACACTGCGCTAATATAGCCCAAAACACATGCATAGATCCTTGCATGTGACGTCATATGGCACCGTACCAGCCGCCATTACTTTGTACCATGCCCCTGTGCCTGTACCTTATGCAGCATATATTTCATACCATCGAATTTGTTCTTCTCGGCAAGCCTCGTAGAGTAGAACAAACTCTATGGTGCGAAATGTAGGCTGCAGAAGGTACGGGCACAGGAGCACCATAGAGAAAAACGGTGATTCATGTGACGTCACTGCAATCCATGTACAATACGTGTTGACGTTGCAGACTGCTATTATAGGGCACATATTTACGCATATAGTCAATGCTATGAGGCACATGGTGAATCAACTTGACAACACCATAAGGATGCTAATATATGCCATATCAAAACAGGTGACAAGACCGAAGCATGGAGTTATGGAACAAAGAACACGTACTGGATTAGTAACAAACTGTGCATGAATAATCAAAATAAACCAGCAACTGAGTGGGTTCTTTATGTTCTTTTTGCTTGAATTGATAGCTTGTATCGACATATATGCTGTACAACATAGACCTGGGCCTCTCAATTTTCGCTAACTTTAACATCGCTCAGTAATAAAAAAAATAAACATCAACTAAATATAAATTACACTTTCATAATGTGAATAAAACTACATAATAGTCGTTACGAGTAAAGAAACTACGCTGATTTCTGTTATTCCCTAGCGAAGAGAAAAATATTGTATACGTTTTCCCATAGGAATACAGGCAAATTGAAAAACTAGACTGGTTGCTGTCTGCTTTAATTTACAACCAGAAGTCCCATAGTCACTAGCGCCAGCTGAGCCTCTAGCATTTATTGTAATAACTCTATGGTTCAGACACCTCCCTCTTCTTCCATCGTGGGCAAGGACAATCAATGCCAAATACAACCCGCCAAAAATAAATCTTATTTATATTCGAAGCATCAAGTACAGGGACAATGTTGTCTAAATATACATTTCTTTTGCCTATCCATAGACCTTTTTCGCTCACTCTTGTCTCCAACCACCTTGTAAGCATATCCGGTATGGGCGACATAAAAATAATAAAACAATTTAACCTCCAAATAATAAAAAAAATAAAGGGGAGACAAAACGAGAATGGGCGACAATTACGCACATATCCTAAATGTATTCTATTGGCGAGGCGACAGCAGAACAATGTTTTTGCCCATACTGGAAGTGACAATATTTGAAGATGGCTGCGCCCTCGTGAAATAGGTCTGTGCGAAGGTTTCACCGAGACTTAACATCTCAGTGAGCACATCTGCTCACCAAGCAACACTGCTTCACAAGTCACTCGCGATTGGTGAATCTTGCTCAACAGCGGGACTAGGAAATTCCATAGCACGCCAGTATCATCATGCAACAAACATGTCTTGTCTTTTCTGCCACAAAGTTCATGCTTATAAGCGTGCACTGGAATGCAAAAACCTGAAATTAAAAGACAACCAGTGTCATGGCATAACTCTTAAAATGGTGCTGCTGCACCAGAAAAGTGGCAATAATACTCAATATCAGTTCAACTGCCACACATGAGTACATCTTGTATATAAATATAGCAAAAACATGCATCTCACTATCAACTGCCTGGATTCTGCTGGCCCTGCATGAAGGCAAGTATTTTGTTCAGCATGATACGCATTTAATTGATTTCAACAAGCCCGCTTGGCGGCGGCAGCCAAACCCGGTGTTGCTTTCCCAGGTTCGCCGACAGCTAGAGAAATGCCGAGTGTAACATATCATGCTCCCACTTCTTGCCTCCCGATTCGTTCTGTGGTGCTTTTATCAGCTCATGCCTCGATCTGACTGGCTGAGGGACGATAATAAAATGCTTGGGACTCGCGAGCCCTGCGTTGGTTAAGCCGTCAGCTACATAGGGCTTGTTATACATCGACAGGTGCCATCAAGCTATAACCTCAATCAGCTTGGAAAAACAATTGTGGATAAGCTGCACCAGCCTAAAACAAACTTTGTAATGTATCGCACCCACAGTATATGGCACACATAAATATGCTGAAGCACGCATTTCAGCGGTGTACACGGTATAGTGACATCCGTCAATTCCGAGCACTTCACACATCTCAAACGTATACAGCGGGAAGAAAAGAGGGTTCACGAGGTCAACATCTCGATTTCCGCCTTTATGTTGCTCTTGGCCCGTTCTTCGAACTTCCTGCGAAATGGTTCAGTTGCAAAGATGTTTGGGATCTGCAGGAAAGATGTGAGTATCTGGAAAAGGAAGCAAAGGTGTGTCTTTAGGTGGTCTACGAAGTGCTCTTTCCATTCCCAGCAAAACAACAAGAAACTTCTGTTGGCACACTGAAGCTCTTCGAGATACAGTATTCACTCGCACACTTTGTGTAATGTTTGTGAACAGGACCCACAGATTTGCTGTAGGCTCATACAACACCCGTTGTTTACCAGTGCAGCAAGGAGTCTGGTATGGACGCCACACGTGTCGGAGAGACGCACCTTTGAGCGAAGGCGGTTGTAGAGGTGGTCGGGAACAAAGCTGTATTCGAGCCTTATTTTCTGAGCATAGTCTTTATATTCTGAAACAAAACAAGGGGGAAAAATATTGGCCCTTTGCTGTACAAGCGTTAAAGAGGCAGCGGCAACACAAAATCCAATGTGGTAACTCTCAGAGCCTGTTGGACTGTGAGATGCAGTATACTGAGCGTGCGGAAAGTAAAAGCAATGGGAATGCAGCAGTGCCGCAGTGTGTTCCCAACTGCTCGATCACGATTGAGCGGTTTACGAGTCGTGTTTGCACGACACGCTGCAAGGAGGTGACGCCTGCGCTGCTCGTGTGCAAGTGCTCGTCTCCTCACTTCTTTGACTTCCTTCACTTCTCCATGACAACACAACGTATGTTCACTCGCAATCAACTTGCCCAGGACCTTGAGGAGGCGTCCACCATTAAATTACAAACTTCCACAATAGTTTAGTCGCTCGGCGCAACATGCAAACTGAACAAGCTTAATGTGGCGTATGTTCTCGTTTTTTTTTTTTTTTCTCTCTTGCTCTTTCTTGTCGTCTTTCTTTGGGGAAGCCCAGAAAGCGCTCGTTTCACGGAGCAGAGTGCTGCTGTATGTATGAACCTGTGACGTTTTACCCCTGCCGGGAGTAATGTGAAGGCAGTCAGGAAGAGGTTCGGCGGGACTGGTGTCTAATAGACCTTTTGCGAAATCCCCCAAGCGCCCCGGCCAGCACACGAGGAATTGTGGAAGAGACTGTACCTCGCCTGGCCGCTCTGCCTTGAGTTCGCATTGCCATGTCGCTTGTTTCCTCTTAATCTTCGGTTTTGCGATTCTATTACTTATTTTTATCTATTCCAGTGTATTTTTTATTGCTTCTAAGTGTTTATATTCTCTTTGGCGCGCGGTATTTCTTGTATACATATAGTATTTGTGTCTTTATTTTGCCTTTTTCGACGAAAGTGCTGACGGACAACACGCCGCTTCGCGCGAGGTCCCCGGGTGAGTACTACTGTTACTACAGATTCCCATCACACTGTTAGCTGTTCATTTTTGGTTCATTTGACCAGCGTGCAGTCGAGAGGAGCCGTTTATGAACACCCGCGCACATGTCATAGGGGTAGGCAGAGCTCCGAATCAACAATCGCGACGCAAGAGCCGAGTGTGCAGTGATTTGGCCGCCCGCGCTCGCTCCGTTGACTCGCACTGCAGCGTATGCCTTCGAGTTCCGCTCACTTGACCAAGATACAGCACGCCACTTTGTCGCCACAAAACATTTGTTCGAATGTTTGCGAAGCTGAGGCATATGCAACCAACTGCGCACTGCGGCGCGATCCCTTCGCAAACGCCAACAGCTCAATGTCGCGGCTTGAATGCGTCTATGGCATGCCTTCGTAATCTATCTGCTCAGCTGCTTCAGTTGCCAACGCCCTTTTTCAAGTGCAGAGATATGTTGCCGCGAATCATTTTTCCGAATGCCTGCGAAGCCATCACACCGTTCGTCATTTCCAACGCTGCGGTGCCTGACAAACTGCGCGCAGCGGCGCGAGCCCTCCTTGAAGGGATACTGAACCGAAATTTCGAGCTCACTAAACAGGGCCGGGCGGGTAAGTGGGAAGCTGCAAAACCAAAAAATATCACTCATACGGCGATATATCTAACAGATCGCCATATTTTTTGGAAAAGAAGTGCGCGATTGAACCTGGCCGACGAGGCCAAGACAAGGCACGTCACGATTCCCATTCTCTCTCTTCCTTGCTACGTCCCGTCAAACTGGTGAACCGAAGCGAGGAGGAAAGAAGGGAGGCCGCTCCTCCTCATTCTCAAATTCTCCCGGAGGACAGTTACGTCAAAGAACTCGCTTGATCGCGCCCTTCTTTTCCAAAAGTATGGCCATCCGTTTGAGATCTCAATGTATGAGGCGAGGGACAATTTCTCCCACAATTCCTCGCACGCGGGCCGGGGCGCTTGGGAAAATTGCAAATCGTCTATTGGTGAGGAGGCGATGCTATGCCAGTGTTCAGCTGGCAGTCAGCCTGTCAACTTCTGCTGCTGGCACCTAACCGGATGTGGTTAGGTGCCAGCCGTATAACGCATTCTGTGTTAAAAAAGTAAGGTGCACTTTTTAAACTGGAGTAGCCTGGGGGTAGCCATGTCAGCTTTCCCCGTGATTGCAAACATCAATCTCTCTTCCCTGTGACAATACCCAGCCCTCTCTCAGTAATAACAAAATAACCTCAAGGAGTGGAGCAACAGCAATAGCGCCGCCAACCACCGGATATCGCACAAAACAAGCTCCGAAACCGAAACTTGAGCCAGACTTGTAGTCAGGATTTATGGCCCGTAATTGATGGCACACGTGACACACTCGTGACTAGTAGCCACAAGGTTAAAGAGGATAAGCTGAAAACTATGTATAGCAAACTCTAGACAGCGATACGAGGGGCAATATTGCGTAGGCACTGCATGAGGTACTGCTTCATGTGTGTCAAATCCGAAAGGACCTCGAAGCGAAGAGCAAGGAGGCAACCAGTGCCACTGCAAGGGCGACCCCGGTCAATGTTTTTTTTAATTTGGGATTACGACTGTTTTCAGCTAAACCAGTGTCCCTGAATTTCAGGGTACAATATTTTTTTTTAGATATTGTGAGCAGTTTTATAAATATCATGGCTCAAAGCTTGGTTTCGGGCATCTACAGCAAAACCGAAACTATCTGCTAGAGGGTGGAAACACTGATCATCAGCCGTACGGCCGCGACATGATGTCAGAAGGATGCTGCGGTACATACCAATCAACCGCAGCTCCACCGCGACATGACGTCGCTAGGGTGTTGCACCAGTGTTGCTTGACTAAAAGCCAATCCGCTTGCCGCCCACTAAAGAGCAGTTGCTCGCACCTTTAAAATCTGTTTTAGTGGAGAACACGGCTTCACTTTGACGTAATATTTCAGCTGTGATCATATTTCGTGACACTAAACCGATACCACTCATTTATTTTTTTCGTTTTCGACCGGAGTTGTCCTTTAACTAACACATCCAGACTCCGATTCATTTTTAATTATTTCAAAATTCAAGGAGTGCAATGTCTTTGCATTCACCATGAGAATGTGCTTCTTACGGAGAGTGAAATCATCATAAAAATATACTTTTCCAGGGGTTACAAGTTTACGAGCTCGCGTGCACGATTTCTAATATCCCTAAATCAAAGTGTTTTCAGCCTCCAGTGGTTGTAACGAGTAAGCTTTATGCATGAACATTTTTATCAACGAAGATGTGCCTCAAAATGCCTGTTACCACACTTACACAATTGTAAGTCTATGCGATTCTACGTCGACAATACCTGTTGGCAAAATGAAAGAAAAAACCGCATTCCATGGCGAACATTTATTGATCACTGAATTACTATTCGTCCTCACTAGTGCTGCTGTTACCACCGTCATGACTGCTACATTCCCAAAGCACGTCATCGTCCAACGAAATATCCTTAGGTACCAATCGCACATTTTCGCGACGTGCGCTGCAAGCTTGAATTTCGGAAAGCATTCGGGTTTAGACCCGTTAAAAGCGATTTGTGTGCCATCACAGTTAAAGATCCTGTGCGCATTGCAGATGCCACTGTGCACACCCCACTGTGACACGTCTAACGTACAAACTTCTGTCCAGCAGCGCAGTTGTTGGTTGCTTTTGCATGAAGAATGGCCGTAACGAGCGCCGAAACCCAAGCTCGCCCGGACTACGCACGTCAATGAAGAGAAACGTAGACCGGCAACCTCCAGCGCAGTAGCATGGTGTCGTGCAAACCGTTCAAACAAAGAATGTGCAATCAGAAAGTTCAGTGAAGCGTATTTCACATGCAGAGCTGATGAGGCTGTTCCAGCGGCCGTTCCTCCAGTTCCGGCGAGGCTCTTGCATTAACTGTCTCCAGCCCCTCGACCATTCGTTCCGCGCACCGTATCCTATGCACGTATTCCACACGTTCCGTGCTGATGTGCAAACTGCAATACCAGTTTCCACCATTCAAAAAAATGTTTTTTAAAAGGCAATTGTAAAACGAGCACATAGACGTCGCTCGTGTTTTACTGAAGATCTAGGACTATTTTAGTGGCACTTCCACAGGTCACTAACAAAATATTTGCTAAAGATTTCTATAAAGTCATGAAATACAAGGACCTAACCGCCGAGATAAAAATGTCTATGGCTCTATATCTCTCTGCTTTTCAGACGTAAGCCATTGCTTGAGATATGCGGCATATGATAGCACTTTGTTTCGCTTTGTCTCGACACTCAAGTGCATAGAAACGTGAGACATTGTTCTCACCGCTTGGACTGCCTCCGAGCACGCACATGTCGAAGTCGAGGAAGAAGTGCCTGTCCTCGCTGCCGTAGATGCCCTCCTGCTTGTGTTCCTCGGTGCTGTGAAGTTTGGTCAGCTGGATAAGCTCGGTCACTGTCAGGAACAGCTCAGAGTCCTACCAAAAGGAGCAGAAGGGGCCACTTAACATCAGCATTTGATTGCGACAAATTTCCTTGCTTTCCAATATAGCAGTATGACCGGTATCGCTGACCAATAGTAATAATAAAATTAGATAAGCACCGTAATGCTACAAGATTAATAAAAGTTTGAGAGTTATGCGAGGTTTTTAAAGCAGTGATGTGATTGGCCTAAGCCATTGTGGCGCACAATTCAAAGCCACTAAAACAGTGTTTTGGGGCAGTAAAAGTGGCTTTTGGGGCAGCCAAGACAGTGTTTTGGTGCACAAAAAAGTGGTTTTTGGAGCGGATATTCATAGAAAAAAAAAATTGCTTTAAGTGCTGTACCATAGGGGTTGTGTGGATATTTAGACAGCGTGTACTTGGTCAGCCATTTCAAAGTTGCTACGAGTCACTCACTGTAGATGAGAAATTTAGCCAGTGCGGTACAACCGCTAACCTAGAGTCTTTAACGTGCATCACACAGAAGTGATAAACGACCGCACGCCGGTACGATGCTCATCCAGATCGAAACAGGCAGGAGTGGGGATTGAGCCCAGAATCCTGGGTTCTGCAGCGCGAGCTTTCGCTCCATGTGCTACGAGCTGGTGTGTGTTAGCCCATTCGGCCACCGATCCCCCCATAAGTGCTCTACAAACGAAGGGCACTCTGTGTTGCGTTGTGTCCTGATGTAATGTGTTGTGACGGAACTCGCTGCTTGTGTTCTTACAGCTGAGACACCCCGCAAGTGTACAGTGCTGTAAGCATTGCCGAGCAATTCCGAAAAACCGCTTGCCACAGTTTTACTTGTTCACAAAGTGCCAGATTTTCGTAAACAGTAAGCGAACGTAAAATAATGAATTGCAAGCGTCCCAGCTGGTGCCTCTGTTCGTGCAATCATGTTTGCATGCACGTGAGGGCAACTTCGGCAGGCTTCCAGCTGCGCCTGCTTCGTCGCGCGAGCGGAGACAACGACTGTTCGGTCGAAACCATGCCACTGCGCTCCGTCGCCAACCGACTCCCACAATTGCATGCAAAATGTAGCTGTCGAGCATACGACAAAAAACAGTCCAGCGACGTGTGCTTGCCAGGCCAGCGAACAAGCTAAACACACACAAAAAAAAGAACCTGAGCGCATTGATGCAAGACATCGCGAGCCAGGGTCAAAAAGTTCTTGGAGCGCTTTGTGCAATGGCTGAACTCGAGACATTCAAGCACGCTGTACGGGTTCAGCGTGCAGACATTGCCTTCCTTGCTTTAGCTCACTTCTCCTCACCAACTTTCTTTCGCTGCAGATTTTTCAAGTACCGGGGTCCGTCTCGAAAGAAGGCCCACCGAGAGGAATCTAGATAATCAATCCTTCAACACAGCAGTCTTTGAATTGAAGATGGGTTCTTGTAGTAATGCACGATTTAAACAAGAACAAGAATGCTGATGAACATGCGGCAATACTTAGTTTCATTTTAGAAAGCACATATCTGCAGCGCTGTGGGGACGGCAACACTCAATGTCGCGCGACGACGGGGACTGGAAGGCAGGGACCAAATAGTTTTCCCACGGCCGTTGCTTCAGCCGCGCAAAAACATGGTTTCGTTTCGCAGCATGACAGCATGGCTTGTACCCGGCACGCTAGCGTTGGATTGTCCGCACAAACCCGCGTCTATTGTTCAAAATATTTTACAGAAAAAAGACGCGAGACGAGATCCAAGAGACGACGACAGCGCGAAACGCTAGACGGTGGGAAAACCATGCAAGACCGGGTGGACAATTGATGCACGGTACTTTGTGCCGGGCGGCTGCTTGTGCCACATAACACATGCATGCTCAATTACGGTACTCAGAATACTTTAAATTTTGAAAAGCGGCCGAAATTGTTTTTTTGGCGCAGGCTTGGCACAGATTACCCATATTTTGTCAAAATGTAGCAAGATGCAGCAGGGTTAGCCCCTTGGCACTGTTAAAGGTAGATGTGCTTACTGTAGACACTTTGATCCGAGAACCTCAGTTTATGAGCGACAAAAACAAATGTCTGGGAAGTTGCAGACTTACCTACGTGGTCAAAAGCAGGCCACTACAACAAGTTACAAGTTGAGCCTGAACTTTTGCTTAAAGTTCAAGACACTTGAGAGAGCTTACAGGAAATATTGAAGTATGTAACGCATAGGCACAAAATTAGCGACTTGCGGCTTCAACACAAGTTTGTTTATCTAAAAGTTTCTCTATGCTTCTGACCTTGTGTAGAGTGTATTTAGCAGTCACCATGGCAGTGTTTCTAGACAAAGCATGTGTTGGCATCCGGATTTCACCAGATTCATTGAACACTACCACGAGTGTTGCTTGGAAAGGGTAAAACCTTACTTTGCCCACAGCTCGATCTAATGACATGTAAATAGTGGGCATGGCATTTCGAGCAAACGAGGAATGACTACGAACAACGGTGGTAAATAAGCTGCGAGGCATCATTGGGAAAAGAAAATATGATTGCAGTCTGACCATTGGGATCCTCGCTTCGTCTGCAAACTGCCTGAAGGCTTCGATGCAGCGCTCTTCGTTGTCCTGAGACCTGGGGTCGTATTCCAGACTGAAAATCACCATTCAAAAACACAATCGACGATTAGTCACCAGCAATAACATCTTGCCAAAAAAAATCAACAACAACGAACGGCCTCTGAGCGGTCCGACAATGTACCGTGCTGCGTGGGGAATTGCATGGCCGTACCAATGTATGCTCGGGCTAACTTGTATCCTCAATAGATCCTGGAAGCCATGCGATCTCTTCTCTGCTACTATTGCGAGTTCAGAAACCGAAATGAACAGAATGGACAAACAAAGCCAATATGCACACTGTTTCATTACTGCACTGTCTTCTTCTCAATCTAAAATCCTATCAACATTCACACCCTCTTCTATCCATGGGTATTCCTCCATGCACTATACATCATAGAGCCACAGTGTGTCGAAAATAGAGTGGGGGCACTGAATATTCCTGGAATGGTCTATAGAGTGGCTAACTGATTTACTATAGTTCTCTTTTCATCACTGCGACGAGCTTTGATGGTGCCATACAAAATCCCAAGAGCCAGCTCAAGCACCTTGCAAAATCGCTTAGTCGGCCACCTGTCAGTGATTTCGCCGGTACAAACCAGTGCAGCATATTTTAATGAAAATTTTCTGCGATTTTGTCCAATTGTGAACACCAAAATGAAGCACATGTTGCCTTAAGATGCGCTATGGTCCAACATTGTTTTGGTTTAGTTTCAACAAATAGCTGGATGTCCAAAGAAAAGTCCCCGCCTGAAATCCCCAATAACCTTTCCAACTAAAGAACACGAATTTGAGCGTATCCTCCCACAACAAAATCACAAAATATAAAAACCAGCGAAATGAACACAAGTATACCATACAACATAATGATACAATTTCATCTCCGATCGGGCAGCCCACTTTGTGATGCTTGAGGTGGCGTACAAAGAACGCTGAGCACTACCTGCCCACATATTTCAGAAACGTATAAAACTCTTCTGTCCACTTACAACTGAAAGAAAAGAGCAAAAGCGACGCCTTTCGGATTGCTCAGGTAGTCTTGATAGGTTCGGAACAGCCCCATCATGTGGCTGAGGTGATCCAGGTTGTGGTGATGCCTGGCGCCGTCCGTGTACTTCTGGCAAATCCAACGTCTCCACTTGTCCCTGACTTCCTCGGTGAAGTCAAGGGTAAGATCGCTCCACACCTCATCTAGTACGCTGCAGCCGAAACCGTCTTTTTCGGTCATTGTCGCAGGCTCGTTAGTTCAGAGCGTCCTGAAACAAGAAAATGTGAATGGCAGATGGCAGACGGCAAAGTAAGAGTGTGTAAGCATGGGAGCAGCACTGGTCATTCGAGAAACAAAACGAAGGTGCCTATCCACTAAGAGATTGAAAACTTGTCCTGTGTCCAAACCTATGTAAAAACGATTGGCAGTCCTTCTGGAGTCGGGAGACTTTAACAGCAGGTGCATGGTCTTGCAGATAAACATGAAGTAAAACAATTAGGCTTGTACGAGCGAGTGCAACCCTACTAACTCGCCAATGGTAATTGCATGGTATAACAGCATAAATGCCAACCAAAAACAAACTTGACTTTTTTTGTTCTTTTTAAATGACATTATTATCAAGTGAAGACTTGCATTTCAACCACTAGTGCTACAGTCCGACAGAGCGCGAGCGTTCGACGAAACATAGGCCATTTATGTGGCTAGAAAAACACAGTTCTGTTTTCTCTCAAACACCAGGATATCAAAAACATTGTCTGACTTTGCTCAATTTGTGATCTTAAACGATCTGAGAGACAGACTCAAAATAGTTTCATAGGCCCGTTTATTAAAACATCCATGAGAGTGAGTGGCTACCTCTTTAAGAAACAAAAGTAAATGCGACCGGCAACCGGCATGGGAGGAAACTGAAAAGGAAGGCCCTGCAGCGTAGGGAAAACCCCTTTAGAATGATGCAGACTACCACGACGTCATCGTCACCGCACGGAAGCAGACCAATCCTCGTACGTGCGATACTTTCTAGCCACGGAAACCTCACCTCGAGAGTGCAACAATACCAGTGTGGCAAGAAACAGGTTCAGCTTACTCTTATCGCGATCTTTCAAACGAGAGATTGCTCAAATGTCACTTGCGCATTTTCAGTCGCTCGCGATCGATTCTCGGGTGGCCCATTCGCGAAATCAAAACGGATAGCGGTTTTGAACCTCTATAACCAGAAAACGATTTTTTCTGAACTGGACTGTACTGCACGTCGGAATCGAAGCACAAAATTCGCTCCACAAGGTGTTTCGCGGGTCGTATTGCGGGGAAGGCCCCCTTTCATCTCTGCAGCGCTACAGAAGCTACGGCACTGACCCGCCAAGAAAAGTCACCATCAATTCTGGGACTTGTGGAGCATTGACTTACATTAGGCTGCGAACCAAGGGTGGAACCACTTGATAGACTTGATATGACCGAGGACTGGACCGGGACAGGAGAGAGCGTTGTTTACTGTGTCGTGATCCAGTCGATCCCGTGATGCGAAAGGAAAACTCCGCTGGCCTTGGTTGGCTATTGACTTTTGACTACGGATTCTAATGGATCGCGCGAACGGCAGGAGCGCGCAAAACGTGGTGGATAGGGGTGTCGCGAACTAGAGCACTATATATCGCGAACCGGCCGAGGTTCGCGTCCAACCAGGTTCGACTTTTGCGAACCTTTTGTGAAGATTTCGACGAACCTTGTATTGAGGTTCGACACGTCTGCGCATGCGCGACAGGCTGGCCATTTGGATTCGGATTGGATGGTAATGGCTAAAGGATGAATTAAGGGCACCGCTGGTTGCACCCACTGATCTCAATGACAATTGCTGGATCGCGCTTGCCGCTCCCGCAAGTGAAGCCACCGGACTTCACTCGCTTGGGATACGATTTGCCGTTTTTGCTAGCCTTTGCTGCGGTTTTCCAGCGTGCTGTAGACACGTTTTCTACTCGTTCGTCGTCATTCGCCGAAGAAGTTTTTTGAAGACTCTGTGTATTGTTGAGACTTGCCGTTGTGAACACGTGGAAAATTTTACGAAAGTGCGGTGTCGCAGGAAAAAGGCACAACGCGTCGAAAGGAAGGGCTGGCGGCGTGTTCAAAGCGTCCTTGGCACGCCGAAGTGCCGTGTCTCTGTGCCTTCGCGCGCTTGGATACCGACCAAGAAGCGACGCCGTGTGAATGTGTTCAGCGAGTGGAATGTGCGTGAAGCCGTATCAAAAGGTACAACTCGTCGAAAACGTGTCGCCGGTGTCGCGGCGTGATCAAAGCTTCCTTGGCACGCCGAGTGATGCATCTTTGTGCCTTCGCACGCTTGGATACCGGTCAAGAATTGACGCCGCGCCAAAGTTCTGAACGTGTGTCGCGCGTAGATGCCTTTAGATCATTTATATATATCGGCCACGGAGTTCTGGATCGTCCAGCTGTTCCGGTGAGTTGCTATCAATAAAAGGGGGAGATCTGTACGTGTTCTTATGTACTATATTAACCATGGCTATGTACCAAATCTACTCTAATAGATTCCGTGGGAGCACGAATAGGGCAACGTTGTGGAGCCAGGGGGTTTTCGAAAGCAAAAGTACAAGACGGCGAGAATGAAAATCTTTGAAGCGCGGCCGATATGGTCGTGTGCAATCTGTTGACCAATTACAATTAGGCGAGCCGCGCTCAAACGTCAAGTGCAATTGAGTAGGTTGATAATAAGCCAGCACTGATCAGTGATGAGGAGCTGTTGTGCACGGTATTGCGTAAATCGTCTAAGGACGAAAAAAAGACGTACCTTCCCCCCATCTTCCGTCGCTAGTGGACGCTGGATTAAGCTCGTTCCTAAACCGCGAGGGGAAAAGACGCTGATCCAGAGGCACGAACAGCTTCACGCACATTGCACTCGCTAAACACATACACACGGCGTCGGTTCTTGGTCGGTATCCAAGCGCGCGAAGGCACAGAGACACGGCACTTCGGCGTGCCAAGGACGCTTTGAACACGCCGCCAGCCCTTCCTTTCGACGCGTTGTGCCTTTTTCCTGCGACACTGCACTTTCGTAAAATTTTCCACGTGTTCACAACGGCAAGTCTCAACAATACACAGAGTCTTCAATAAACTTCTTCGGCGAATGACGACGAACGAGTAGAAAACGTGTCTACAGCACGCTGGAAAACCGCAGCAAAGGCTAGCAAAAACGGCAAATCGTATCCCAAGCGAGTGAAGTCCGGTGGCTTCACTTGCGCTGCAGCGAACAAGCGGGGAAGCGCGATCCAGCAATTGTCATAGAGATCAGTGGTTGCACCGCTGATTGGTTATTTCCACTGATCTCTATGTCTATTTGCTGGATCGCGTTTGACCAGCTCCTCCTATGGACCGGAATGCGGTCACTGGCGGCCATCTTTAAGTAGAGTTATATCATCTCTAGCCATCATAGTAATATGGCGGACAGCGCAATGGCGGCAGGCTGCCATAAAAATAGCCGTAGATCTAGTACACTGTACCGTGGGTGACATTTCGTGCTTGATTGAAGTTGTTCGACGAAGCAGATTGTTGAAACCCGGCGTGAACGGTATCCTCATCTTTGAGGACCCGGCAAAAGTTCTACGAAAGCGCAGCACCGGGGGAAAGCAGCGCAGCTCGCATCAAAAGCAGACTCCGTACCGTCGTCTGCTTTCGATGCTTCTTTCGATGCGACTTTCGATACGTGCTGTGCTGCTTTTCTCCCGGTGCTGCGATTTCGTGAAACTTTTACCAGGTCCTCAAAAGCCGGACTACTGTTCACGCCGGGTTTCAAAAACATGTTTCGTCAAATAATTTTAATCAAGCACGCAATATCACCCACGCTATTTTGACCGCAGCCTGCCAACCCACCTGCCAAAACGCTATCTGCCATGGATGGATGATAGCGGCTGCAGCAGCTTACATTGGCTAGAGGTGATATAACTCTACCTAAAGATGGCCGCCAGTGACCGCATTCGCGGAGCGGGCAAACGCGATCCAGCAATTGTCATAGAGATCAGTGGTTATTTCAGTTAATACAGTACAAAAAAAATATTTTATTAACGTCTTCAGTGATTAGAATTGGTTTCTTTTAATTGCAAGTGTTCATAAAATAAAATAACCCTTTGCATAAAAATAAATTCTCAAAACCTAGACATGCGTGTATCAAGGTCTGGCTAGAGCACTATATAGCTCCTACGGAGCAGAGTAGCGCAATCCTTTGAACCCCGTGTTTTGCCGACAACATGGCCGACAGAGCGGCTCGGCGCGAGTCACGTGGTACTCAGGGTTCCAGGAGGCGGCCCGCCCTATAGGAGAATACATGGAGATCGACATAACACCGCTGACTAAAAAACTAATGGCGAGTTCACATTTTTCAAAACTAGCCTGTCGTGAAGTTAGTAAAGCGCTAAACACTTTATCAAAGTTTTAATAATATCGGATGCGTGTGCAAATTTTGAGAAGGCAATTTCCAAGGCAATGGCGTTTGAAGCACACGATTTTTGCTCGCAGCGGAGATGGGCTTTTCGGGTTGGCCGGAGCGGGTCACGTGAATGGTGTGACGTCGCCGTGTCGTCTGCTGCATGATGCCGCTCAGGCAATTTTTTAAAAAAAGTTACGTCCTTGTATGGCACAAAACTTATCGCATATTATTCTAAAATGTTTCATTATTATGTCAAAAACGATTTCCATTCCGCACATCCCCACAAAACTGCAGAAACAACGATTTTCTCACGTTCTCCATGCATTTCTGACCGCAGTTGGAACCTCCGGGCGTTCGCCGCTAGTCGCCGAGAGACGGCGTTCTAGATTGCGCTACTCCAGAGCTCTGCGCTACTCTGCTCCGAAGGAGCTATATAGTGCTCTAGGTCTGGCCACACGGTCCGCAAAGTCGAACCGGTCGAATCTGGTGAAAAGTTACGAAGGTTCGTCGAACCGGTTCGACCCAGTCGAACCCCGAAAGTTCGACCTAAAAATCCGGTTCGACAAAAGTTCGCGACACAACTAGTCCGGCCATACCCGTCCGCCCCTGTTCCCCTCCTTCTCCGGCTTCCGGCGGCTGTTCGCGGAGCTGACGGTTTTGTGGACCTAGGATAGATGTCGCCGCTAAAACTCCGTATAATAAAAGTTTTGTCGATGATACCAGGTTTTTGACGCATTTATATATATATGTTGGAACGACAAGATTTATAGGAAAGTTACCTTTTATCGAGCAGGTATTCGCACAACTTGCTATCTTTCTACAAGATTCTTCCTCATTGACGTCACGCCGCGTGTTTCTCATGGCCGCCGCTCGCGGCTGCAGGTCGGGGAATATTCGAAGTTTTGCCTCGCTATTGGCCTCGAGATCGACCTAGAGGTGGCGCTGCGGTCGCGCTATCATCATCATCAAAGCGGGGATCGGAAAACGGCCGCCCCATAAGCTCTCCACGGTCGCGCGCGAGACGGCGTAGATTCTTGCGTTTATTTTGTCGCATACTATCGGTGGGAAAACAATTCTAGCGGAAAAGGATGCAGTACTTTTCGGTGCTTCAGTTAAGATCGAATCGTGTTGCCAGCGTGCGGCCCAAATTTATATAATCGCTTCTGTGGGTGCGTCGTCTGCTCTAGGCAGACGTTGGAAAGCATGGATCACCACGACTGATGCTTGTCTGCGGCTAAACTGGACTATTTATGTTAAATATTTGTTTCTTTTAGAATGGATGTATCGGTTCATCAACGTGGGAATAAAAAAAATAATAAATTCCAACCCAGCTAACATAATACTGCTACTGTGGGCTGTGAAATCGCAGCTTCTGGGCTTTTTTTTAACGTCTAGCTTTTGCAGTAATATAAATATTTAGAATGAAGATAAGTTAGCGCTGTATTAGAAATTACCATGCTATTGAGTTCCTCTGCCCTTTTACTGTGCCATAGTGTGGGTAAGGTTTTTGGAGTCTAAACAAATCTACTGCGTTGCGATGAGGAGAGAGTGTCTCTTCTAGTTAAAATCTGCAAACTGCACGTTGGCAGCACAGCTGAAACAAGTGAAGCAAACTGTTCTAATATATCTGCCGTGACTGTAATAAACGAGTGTAACCGAGCAACGCAACAATGTTTCTATTATTAAATGCTTTTCTCGGTAGTGCGGGTTCACTCGCTTCAATTTTCTCGGTGAGGGCCGCGGATTTTAAGAGGCTAATACTATAAATTTCTGGCTAAATAATCTTGTATTCAAACACGGTAGACTTTGCAGCCCAAGCAAACGACGCGCACCACGACACAGACAGCATCGGCCGCCGTGATACTCTTTTACTGATGAGGGCTAACAACCTTCACGAGACTTTCCGATCGCCCTCCGCCCTCACCTAACGCATATCGGGACTCAGCAGTTCATCGATTAACTTTCAGATTATTCGAGTAATGCTTTAATTGCAATTTTCTTTTGCCGGTGGAGTCTTGTGCTGGAGAAAGTCATCAAGGAGTAAAATATGCCTGCTTTAATATTTTTGGCGTCTTTACTTTTTTTGTGACACAGGCTTGCACGGTAAACCACTTCAGCGTGCTTGTCATTTCGCCGAGGGCGATTATACTGTTTAAATAATAACTTAAAAATACTTCATTTTAAAAGGCTTCTGTGTTCATATTTATGTAGGACTCACAACGTGAAGTTTAGAATGGGAATGCAATATGCCATTTATGACATAGTAAAACCAGTAGAAAATATATATATAGTTTAACGTCTTTCACGCAATATGACCGGGGAAAAATCAACATACGGATTAATTAAT